CAGCAAGAAAGTGTTTTCGGACATCACGACATTTTTCACCAGAGTGTGCAGTGGCAACAATGAATTTAGAAAACGTGTCAATGGAAACATGAACGGATTTTAATTTTCCAAATTCATTAATATGTGTAACATCAGACTGCCAGATTTCGAGGGGAGAAAGACCCTTGGGGTTTGTCCCTTCAGGTCGTAGTGGTGCCACTGCTTGACAATTGGGACAGGATTTTATGATGTCTTTAGCTTGGGACAATGGGATGCCAAATTGTTTATATAATGCTTTAGCATTTTGATGAAAGAAGTCGTGAGTCATGCGTGCTTGTTGAAATAAATTTGGAACGGTAACGTTACCTGCTAAGGAATCGGCACGCTGATTGCCTTCAGCCACAGGTCCAGGAAGTGCAGTGTGCGATCTGACGTGTGTAATAAAAAAAGGATGGTTTCTGTGTTTAATAAAGAAAAACAAACGAGTTAACAACCTAAATAACAAAGGGTGAGAAACGTGTTTGAGATAGGAATTTTCTATTCTTGAAACCAATCCTACAACGTAAGAAGAATCTGAAACTATATTTAGAGGTTCATCTTGAAAAAGAAAGAAAGCTCTGGTTACAGCAGAGAGTTCCACCAATTGTGGGGAGCCTTCAGCATGGTGGATATCCTGTTGCCACAGTTGATTTTCGAGCCAGACGACTACTGCATTGCCAGTGCGTCCTGAGCCATCCGTGAAGACGGTTCTGGCCCTTGGTAAGGGGACAGGAGAGTGCATAACCTGGAGAGTTAAAGGAATAGGTAGTAGCTGTTGTAGTAAAGGACAGGCAGGGAGATGGAATTTTATTTGTCCAGTGAAATTGGCGCTGGCAAATTGGAAGTCCACAGAGTATAAAAGGAGCTGATGGTACTGTTCTGCTGTAACTGGGAGAAAAAGAAAATCGGGATCATGGCCCATCAATTCGATACACCTGGAGCGACCTTTAAGGAAAAGTTTAGAGATAAGTTCAGGGAAACTGGTTACTGTTTTGGAGAACTGGTGAGGGAGGAAAAACCATTCCCACAGGCAAAAGTGCGTGTTGTTAGTATGAAACTGTCCCAGGACAGCCAAGGGCTGTTTCTCTCCTAGGGCGATAACGAAAGATACAGGGATGTGAGGGAGCATCCGGTGTGCTTGGCACGATGAAATTTTCTGTTGGACGATGGAGAGTGCAGATTGCGCATCAAGGGTTAAGGATCTGGGGGAGCTGAGGTCTGGGTCTCCCTTTAAGATGTTAAACGAGGGACTCAGGTCCTCCGTACTTATGCCAATTAAAGGTCGAAGCCAGTTGATTGCTCCTAAAAGTTTTTGGAGATCATTTAAGGATTTAATTTCAGACCGAATTTGAATTGGTTGTGGAAAAAAGGTGGAATCGGTGATATGTAAACCTAAAAACTTCCATGGTGCTGAAAACTGAATTTTTTGTTTAGAGATGGCCAATCCATTAGAATTTAGGGTTGATATTAGAGAATCAGTTACCTCACTTAAAAGAGGCTTGTTAGGAGCGCAAATGAGAATGTCGTCCATGTAATGGAGTAAAATAACCTTTGGGAACTGCGATCGAATTGGTAAAAGAACTTGTGACACAAATAATTGGCATAAAGTAGGAGAGTTTTTCATCCCTTGCGGAAGAACCCTCCATTGAAACCTCCTATGGGGTTGGGATAGATTGAGGGAAGGAACAGAAAATGCGAATTTAGGGCAGTCAACTGGGTTAAGGAAAATATGAAAGAAACAGTCTTTTATATCTACCACTACCATGGGCCACCCAGCGGGGAGCATAGATGGTGAAGGCATCCCTTGCTGGAGGGCACCCATGGGTTCTAAGACATCATTAACCCTGCGGAGATCTTGGAGAAGCCTCCAAGATCCCGAGGACTTTCTAATAACAAAAACAGGAGTGTTCCAGGGGCTAGTAGAGGTTTCAATGTGACCCAAAGCTAGTTGTTCATCGACGAGATTATTCAATGCCTGCAGCTTCTCGGCGGTCAAGGGCCACTGGTCTACCCAGACTGGATCTGAGGTGGTCCAGACCAGCGGGGGAAGCTGCAGCTCCCCAGTGACCCCTGTTAAAAAACCGATGAGAGTTTTATTCCCCATTGTACCATGACATCCCTTCCCCACAACGTGAGGGGGATGTCGAGAATAAAAGGACATACTGAAGCTGATTGTTGTTCTGGTCCTGTGATGCGTACAACCATATTACTCTGTAATTGAAATTGTGAGCCCCCCACCCCGCTGATGTTAGTTAGTGTGGGGTTTAGAGGCCAGGTGGAAGGCCAGTCTTTTTTAGCTATTATAGTAACGTCAGCACCTGTATCCATAAGGCCTGTCACTTCCACGCATGATGGACTTGTGATATCTGAAGAAGATAAACAACACGTTAAAAGTGGTCGGGATGTAACTGGTCGGGTCCAGTAGGCCTGAGGTGTCCCTTCTGTCAAAGCAGTCAAGGATATCAATTGTGCAATCGGTTCATCACTGGTTACATGAACAGGGGGAGAAGAAACGTTAACAGAAATCGAAAAAACATCTGTTTTTAAAATCATACACAACACAGGAATAATGAAAATACCCTTTTCTATCCCGGATTGGGTAGAGATAACTAAATAAACATCATTACATGGCAACGTAGAGGAGGGAACAACATCGATTATTTGTGTGTCATGTAACAAAATAGTAGACGGAAAAGAAGGGAACAACTGAATCCAGGGTAACATATCATGAGGAGGTAAAGGAAAGTGTTCATCTAAGCCACTGAGAACCGTTTTGGGTTCAGAGGGGAATTTGGTGTCGGGGCGCCCCCCCTGGCGCTCTGCTGGAAGTTTCCCGACTGATGTAAATTGTCCTGTGATTTAAAGGAGACTTTGCGCTGCAAATTGGGTGTTTTAGGTGGCAAGGGATTGCCATGGACATCAGTAACAGATTTACAGTCTTTTGTCCAATGGCGTCCCTTGCCGCAGCGCAGGCATGGGGTTTTGGGTAAAGCAGGGGTAGATTTGTTCTGGAGTTCAGGGCACTGTTTCATCACGTGGCCCTTCTGCTTACAATGAAAACAACGATTTGGACCAGAAAGAGCGGCAGCTAGGAGGTTAGCTTTGTGAGTGTTTGAAGTAATGTTTCTGCAGGCTTCGATCATATCTATGATCGTGGGGTTTTTAAGCAATATCAAAGCTTTCTGGCACTCCTGATTAGCATTCTCGATAGCAAGTTTTTGAAATAAAATGTCTTGAGACTCCTTTTGGGAAACCTGTTTAACGATTGCCTCTTTGAGGCGGGAGATAAAGTCAATGAATGGTTCGTCTTGTCCCTGTTGGATTAGGGTAAATGAAGGAGTGGTGGTATATGCATCCGCTACTTTTTTAATTGCTTGTAAACCCAAATCCTGGGAGATTTGGAGATATTCCCTTCTAATTCCGATTTGCTGTCGCTTGTCGGTAAAGGGGCCTTCCCCAAACATAACATTAATTAGGTGATCTGTAGGGGCCTTGCGCTTAGGTAATTTTTCGTTAACATGTTTAACGATTAAATTCTTCCACTCACTTTCGAAGACCGAGTATTGTATAGTAGTAAGGAGCCCTTTCGCTACTACACGCACATCGTGGGGTATTAATGTATGTACCTGGAACAAGGTATCTAAAAGTCCCAGTGTGAAAGGAGCTCCGAGTCCATAGTCTGTGACTGCTTTTTTAATGTCCCGCAAAATTGGATAGGAAATAGGAAACCATTCCGGAGCTGTGTTGGGATTGTCATAAAACACGGGAAATGCCCACAGAAATTCCGCATCCCCTGCCTGCATAGCTTGGGCCTTGCAGGCCTTCCAGATATCAGGGGTTTGTAGGTTACCGGAGTGGTGGGCCCGGTGTTTACCATGGGCGCCGCCATCTTTGCGGAAGCAAGTCACACGTGAGAAAACTACGTCATGTCCGGTTAGTGCGCCATTACAAGATGCCGTCGATGACGTTAGGGAAGAGGTGGAGCTACTAGAGGAGGGCGTGGCCAGGGGACTACGAGGGTGCCTCCCATTCCTGACGTCACAGTCTCGCGCCCTTTCCATTTCCCGCGCGGCGCATTCCCCCCGCCCCTTAGCTTTTCGCGCCACCCGTTGACTCCTCCCTTCTCCCTCAGCCGCGTCGCCATCTTGCGCCCAGGAACAAGAAGGTCCCAAATCAAGGTGTCCCCCGCCATTTTGAGCGCGCCGCGGTGATGTATCATGCGGCTTGGAATTCTTAATCTTCATCCGGCTCTGTAGAGCCGTCAGAACAAGCCTCCACGCAATTAGCGCTTCACCAGCCATAGAATCTCCTCGCTCTTTTTCCACCCAGAGGGAAAAACCAATTTTGTCCCAGTCTTTGATGTTAAGCACCTCCGGGACTTGCTCGCCTTTTAAATGCAACCACTTAGCCAGGGTCTTTAACGCTTTTTTGTCGACGGGATGGCTCGTCGGCAGTTGTGCGAGTATGGCCTTTAAGTGGTGGTAAATAGCTTTCTGTGGTGCCGAGAGACGGGCTCCCATGGTGTTAAAATTGCACACACAGAGGTTGCGGGGATGAGAATCGGGGAAGGAGGGAAGGAACTTCCTCAGCCGCTCACCTGCTCCGCGCAGCAGAACAAGGAACCTGCTACAGAGCTCCACGTTGGGCGCCATATGCCGCAGCCCGAGTGGGAAAGGACTGACAGCACTCAGGGGGTTCGCAGTCTGCAGCAGATTTATTGATGGTACAGGAGGCGTGAGGGCGCTTCCTGGCGCTGAGCCGCGAAGGTGCTGCCCAGAACAAAGGGCGAACAGGACTTATATAGGGTTAAGGAAGGAAGGGTCTAGAAACTGGGAGGAGTATGTGATTGACATAAGGGGAGAACCAATAGGGGAGTAACAGAGGGAATACATTAACTTTTAACCTATAGGATGATCTGGGGGGTGTGGTGAGACCGCCTTACTGCGGCAAAATCTCACCAATCATAACAGGGGATTCAACAGCCAATCAGGGGAAAGGGTTCATGAGGGAAAACTTATAAGGGAATAAAATATGAATTTACAACTGGGGTACAATGGTTTTAACATGCATTAACATTACTAATGGGGGTGAAACAACATTGTCCATGTCAAGCAGGTTCAAAGGTCTGTTCACAGATGTCCATTCCAGTGTGTAAGTCCATAGTTTTAAACTTCATCTTCATTATATTCTTTGTAGATCTGTCTCCACTTGTGGTATAGTCTCTGTTTCTGTTTGGTGCCTTCCACATGCATCCTTCAAAAGTCTATAGCTCCCAGAAAAGCTTGGGTTTTTTTGTTGTTTGTTGGTGGAGTCATTGTTATAATCTTATTGATGACATCTGTTGGAATCTGATTATGTCTATTTTGCTATTTCACTCTTAGGAACTGAATTTCTCTGGCAGGTCTCTTGACTTTATTTCTCTTGATGGCAAAACCGGCCTCGAGGAGAATCTGGATGATTTTTTGTCTTTTTTTAAAAATTTCTTCTACTGTGTCTTCTTATACGATGATGTCATCGATGTACTGCAGGTGCTCTGGGGCTTTACTCTTTTCTAGGGTGGCCTGGATTAACTTATGGCAAATGGTTGGACTGTGCTTTCACTTCTGAGGCAGTTGATTCCAGGTGTACTGTATATCTTTTCAGGTGAAAGTAAATTGTGTTTTGCGCTTTGCTGCTAAGGGATTGGAGAAAAATGTATCAGTAATATCAGTAATGGCGTACTATTTCATTGTTTTGGATTTCAGCTTGTATTGGAGTTCCAACATGTCTGGTACAGCAGCACTTAATGGTGGCGTGACTTTATTTAAGTTACGATAGTCCATTGTCAGTTTTCATTCTTCACTGGATTTACGTACAGACCAGATAGGGCTATTGAAGGGTGAGTGTGTTTTGCTGACTATTTCTTGATTCCTTAACTTCCTGATTATTTTGTGAATGGGGATTACAGTATTTCGGTTTGTCTTGTATTGTCGCTTGTGTACAGTTGCAGTGGTTATTGGCACTTGTTGATTTTTGACTTGGAGTAGTTCCATAATGGAGGGGTTTTCTGAGAGGCCAGATAGGGCAGACAATTGTTTGGACTTTTCTTTAATCCTTGTGGTTACACTGAAAGTTCATCGGTATTCCTTCGGGTTTTTGAAGTATTCTCTTTTTAGGTAGTCCATACTAAGAATGCAAAGGGCTTCTGGCTCTGTCACAATGGAATGTTTTTGCCATTGGTTTCCTGTCAAGTTTATATTGGCTTCTATTACTGACAACTCTTGAGACTTTCTGGTCACTCTAGAAATAGAAACAGTCTCTATATTCTTATGTTTCGATGGCATTAAAGTATATTGGGTACTAGTATTTACTAAAGTCCGGTATTTTTGAGGATTCGATGTGTCAGGTTATTGAATTTATACAGTTTAGTAAACTTTATTATTTTCTTGGTTCTTATCCTTCTTTTGGTAGAAGGCAGGGCTCTTTTATTGGTTTTGATTAGAGTATTCATCGTCCGACTTTGCTTTCTTCAAGGTTTTTTTGTTATTGTCAAAGCGGACTTCTATTTTTTTGTGTTTCAGAGATTGTAGAGCATCTGCATTAATCACGTAGATAACTTTTTTGTTGTTTTGTTGTAATTCTTTTACTCTGGTTTTGAGTTTGGAAGTGGGTTTACTATTTTATTTTTTCATGGTTTTTTCCTTGCTGCGCAAATAGGACTATAGTTGATTGTGTGATTTCCGTTTGGGGTTTTCTTTTTTTCTGCGTGCTAAGAAAGGAGACTGTGAATGAGGCTGGGACCAAGACTGAGGTTGAAACCGTGGTTGAAATTATTTTATTGGTCTGTTTCTAAAGTTTCTGTAGTCCATATAGACTTTATCATCTCTATCTCTATAGTCGTTTTCATATTTGAAATATTTATAGGACTTTTCTATTGCTTTTTTAGGATGGGTAGGTCGGTGTCGGGTATCAGAGGACTTTTTCAAATTTTTTGTTATGGTTCGTATTTATGAACATGTGTTCACAGTTGGTTCAGCTGTTTTTGGATTGTATATTGATATTAAGCAGTTGAGGTATGATGCAGGGGCATCTCTAATCACTTGCCTTCACATTGGCTCTGTACATGAAATTTTCTCTGGTTCTAAATAGTCATCATAATTTGAGTTGCAATAAATGAGTTTTAGCATAGTTAATTCTCGTAAGTATTGGATGCCTTTTTTTGGATTCGTCCACTTTTTCAGAGAATTCATTAAGTATTCTTTAAATGGATATTTTTCTCTCACGGCATGGAGGATCCAGAGTTAAGAGACTGAGATTGTATGTCTTTTTTGTGATTTCTTGTTCTGTTTCGCGGTCTTGAGCGAGGGATTCTAGTTGTTGTGCTCCATGACTTTTTAATAAGTGGCTTCTGGTTTCATTATTTTAACATCGTATCAGTCAGGTGAGAATTTGTTCCATCAGGCTGGCGGCTGTAATTCCGTCGTAGATCCTGGAGCTCTGCTGGGGTCATTGTTCGCAGTACTTCACTTGTTCGCACAACTACTGCTCCAGAATAAGGGTCTCTCCTCCGTGGAACTATTTCCATTTCCCTTCTGACGCTTCTATGTGGAACCACTTTCTTTCTCTCTCTGCCTCTCTCACGTGGAGGCAGAGACTGAGCATGTAGAGGGGATAGACTTCTACTCCGTTGTCTAAGCCCACGAGGTGGAGGTAGCGAGTAGTCCTTCAGACCTTGGGATGAAGGTCTCAACCGTTCTTCTTATCCTCCGCTGGAAAGTCAAGAAGAGAATATTTGGGTGTCAGCCTTGTCTTTGGTGGTTTATTGGTCATCTGTACTGCCACCCCTTCTTCCTTTAGGTGTGCTCCCTTTTCTTTTGGGCACGCTCCTAATTCTTTTGGGCGCGCTCCTTCTCTCACTGCTGCTTCTTCCTCTTTTGCAGCTATCCATTCGTCCACTACTACATAGCTGGACGGGATAGGTTCCATAGGAATGGCAAGTCCCTTTGCTCCTTCTTCTTTTTCTTTTTCTTTTTCTTTTTCTTCTTTTTCTTCTCCTTCCATACACCTTAATCATGGAACTAGGCCTGTAGCTTCTGCATAATCCCTTATCCATATCTTCTTTTTAGTTAGGGAGGCAATAGTGATTCTCGGATTGGTAGTTTGGGTCTTCATCTCCATCATAGCCTTAACATTAGATGTCGTAGTGTGAGTTCCAGTGTCCATGAGATCTACGGTCTGGACTCCAGTTTCAACAGATTTAGCAGAAGCTATGGTGACTTCAAGTTGAGTCTGAGTCCCACACTCAATTGACTTAATAGAGATGGCACTGACTTCAGGTTGGGTCTGTGTTCCATGCTCAGTTGAATTAACGGAGACAGCGCTAACTTCAGGTTGAGTTTGTGTTCCACACTCAGTCAGCTTAACAGAGACGGCACTGACTTTGGGTTGAGTTTGTGTTCCACACTCAGTCAGCTTAACAGAGACGGTGCTGATTTCGGGTTGAGTCTGTATCCCGACGTCTGTGGATTCAATAGGGGCATCATTTGTTTCAGGTGACATATTTTGACTTTCTGCCTCTGCCCTAGGCTTTTGATAGTGATCTATGGCAGCTTTATAAGCTGTCGTTAGACCCCAGCATAAAGCAAGGAGCTGCGTATTTGGGTTATCGTATGAAAGACACCGTTTAACTAAACAACGTGCCATCTTGTCAGGATTAGACACGTGTTCTGGCGTGAAGTCCTAAACAATGGGAGGTGCCACACGCCCTACCAGTTTGCCAAAATTTACCCATGCTCCTTGCCATCCAGAAACTGTCCTTTCCAAGACCTTTCCCAAAGTTCCAGCAAATCCTCTTGAGGTCTGGCCTTTTCTACAACATGGAAAGCAACACAACACTATTCTTCCAGTTTTAAATAACTCTTCATCGCTTTCACCAGTACTAGGATTGTTACTAAACAATTTAAGTAAAAATTGGAGTCAATTGTAATGATGGGGATCTTCTTTAGCAGGCCTTTGATGTCAAAATCGAAGAAAGTGAAATACTCCTTCCATTCATTCCAATCAAGGAAAGTGAAATACTCCTTTGCTGCAGGCAGGCAAGCGAGCGGGAGAGAACCACACACACATCCACAAGATGTCGCAAAACGCTGGGAGACACGAGCAGAAAATTGCTTTAAGTCTCGTTTATTAAAGATTTTACAAAGGTTTATATGGTATTTTTGCGAACAGCATGCAATGCTCGCATTGGTCAGAATGAGGGTGGTAGGTTGTTTTCTCTACAAGGATTTGCTATAGATACAGAAACCTATTTTTCTACACATCTTTAGAAAACAAAAATCAGAAGGCTACACTTTCCCAGAGAACAGAACACTTTCCCAGAGAACAGAACACTTTCCCAGAGAACAGAACTCAAAACAAGATTTGTTATGTTTCATTCTAATTAAAGGTATCAGTGTCCAAATCATAACATCTTCCTGCTGGAGACAGTTCTTCCTTTAATTTACCAGGACAGCTGGGCTTTGTTTTCTTGCATTCCTTCGTTATCAACCTGTAGCAGCTGCAAGGCATCCGAGCAGTCATGTCCACGGTCAAGCAGCCACTGCTTTGCAAAGCTCTCCACACTTCCCCCTTCTTTTTTAACCACGACAAGAGAGGAGTTAGTTGCATTTAAGGCCTTGGAGATCCTGGATTGTAGAAATTGTAAAAAACAAGGAAGAAACAGTAAAAGTAATACTATAACAAGGAAAATCACAATACCATGCTTAACTAAGTCTAAAAGCCAGCCAGAGATGCCCCAGCCAGTAAGCCATTTGTCTAACCAACTATTGCTAACAGTAATATCTTTAAAGTGATTACGTAATTTTTGTATTTGAGCATGAATACTATCGCTATGATCAGAGAGATTCAGACAACACATTCCTTCAAACTCTTTACAGCCATGACCTTGGGCCAACAGAAGGAAATCAACAGCAGCACGATTTTGTAAGACTGCATGTCTAATGCTGTCCACATCATGTAACAGTTCATCCAAGATATTAGATGTAACATTGAACTCTTGGACGGCAAAACAGGCAAGATTTTTAATGTTACGCCAATTATGGGCAGCCATGACACCTGGAACAAAAAAGGACATAGCGACTGCAGCACCTATTGACGAGATTTGAACACGCGGATTGCAATCGGGACCAATACCATGAATTGTGCGTTTTGCGCGTTTTGATCGAGTAAGATTGTAAGCATTAGTAACTAAATTTCGGTATGTAGGAGTAAACATTGTTAGCTTACCAACATAGCATGGTCCTCCCCATGGATTTTCTGGGATACCTGGTTAGGCTCTATCACCACAAATGAGGAAGTATCCCGGAGGAAATCGAAAGTTACCTAAGGTGGTGACTTCTTCAGTGCCATAAGTGAGAGATGCATTTGGCCACTGCCCTGATCTGGAAGCACTAACAGCTTGTTTAAGTTTGTAGAATGCAGGATTATCAAATGCATATCTAACATTAAACAAGACAGCTCTTGTACCGTTGTCTGCATCGAGACTGTATGACGGAGAACAGTTATATTTTTCCGTAAAGTTTACAAGAGGACCATAGGGAGAGAAGGATCCCATAAGATCTAGTTCTTGGAGCGGGAGGGTAGCATTCTGAGTAAGATTGCTAAGTACTAAGAATAGCTCAAAGGTATTTTGGGTACTAGTGAGATTTGTAATGTATTTTACATGGTTGTTTGTTTTCCAATTCTTTAAGGCGATTTTTACGGTAGTTCTATTGACTGTTGTAAAGTTTTTCCAATCCTGCCATTGAAAATAGGGATAACCGATTAGGCAGGTACGAAATGGGTTGTTAGCCTGATTAAGTGAGAGGCAAAGATCGGTCTGATTGGTTTGTTGTGCCCAGGTTACCCAGATATTCTCTCTGGAGTCAATGGACAAAGTAGCATCAGCAGAGTTATTAGAAATTACAAAAAGTATTGCCCAGAAGAGTGTACAGGTGGTTGGAAGAGGCCACATCGTGAATCAATAAGTTTTTGTGTCAAGCATAATTGTAGTCCTTTTTTAAGACGATCTAACTACTGCTCCTAAAGTCTGTTGGTCAGGACACTCATGAAGAGTGTAAAAATGTTCTTGATCTTCTAGAGATTGTAAGTGAAAGGTGATAGCTATTTGTGTAGGAAAGGAAGTTGCTACAAATGATAACCAGCAGGGAAGACAATGAATAGATTCGTTTCTAGAATGTGATCGAACACTATAAACGTTACAAATACTACAATAAACTATAGATAAACCTCTACAATTCATATGACAATGTCTACCAACACGAAGGGTAAAATCTTCATCAAGCAAAATATAATCAACTTTACGTTCCCAATCTTGAAGTGATTCTTGCGGATCCTTGTGAATGTATTGTCCTATACCAGGCCACAAAGCTTCAAGTGAAGGTAATTTGCGCTGTATCGTCCGTTGGATCTTCTCCTCCAGAGCTTTCTCCTGTTCCGGAGTTATGCGCAGTGTCCACATTAACAGCTGGTTTGACCCATCGGGCAGGGATCCAAGCAGGACCTGTAGGAGACATAACACAAACATACCCACGACCCCAATAAAGTACTTTACTAGGGTTTTGCCAGATTCCTGTTTTGGGATCACGATATCGTACCCAGACATCAGGAGAAGGATTAGTCTTCTCAGTTGACAAAGTGTGATAGAAGGCTGGTGGATGTTGTTTGTCTCCAAAAACACACAAGTGATTTAACACATAAAGGACTTTAGCTAAGCGACTTTTAACGTCTTTTATATTCGAATGTTTCTTTAAGTATTGTTTTAGCACAGCATGTGATCTTTCTACTATTGCCTGTCCCGTAGGAGAATGTGGTATACCTGTAGTATGCTTAACATTCCAAATTTGAAAAAATGTTTTTAAGCGTAGTGATGTGTATGAGGGGGCATTACCAGTTTTAATTTCGCAAGGTACACCCATGACAGCAAAGGCTTCTAGTAAATGACGTTCTACTTGTAGAGCCTTTTCTCCTGTTTGTGCAGATGCCCAGATGAAATGACTATAGGTGTCAATGGTGACATGGACATATTTAAGATTCCCAAATTCATTAATGTGAGTGACATCCATTTGCCAGAGGGCATTCATAGATAGTCCTCTGGGATTTACTCCTAATCCTATTCCTAAACCCCCATTGTGATGACTGCAAATAGGACAGGCTCGCACAATATTTTTTGCTTGTGCTAATGGAATAGAAAATTCTCTACTGAGGCCTTTTGCATTTTGATGGAAGATGTCATGACTCGCTCGAGCTAGAGTAAATTGTGTAGAAGTTGCTGTCATAACAAGCTTGTCAGCTCTTGCATTGCCCTCTCCTAAACCAATTTCCCATTTATGGCTTCTGATGTAAATTATGGAGTAAGAATGTTTTCTCATTTGAATAGCTTTTTGCAGTTGGATTAGCAGCGTGCCTAACCTTTGATTTTTTGTATCTCGTATTATAGAGGCCTCTATTCTTTGCACTATCCCTACTACATATAGGGAATCAGAGACAACATTAAGAGGTTCGTCAAAAAGGTTATAGCCCAGACTACAGCTGCTAATTCTAGAGTTTGTAGGTTATCTGACTTTTCACCTTTAATAAGGTTATGGTGCCATTGCCCATTAGTGAGCCAAGTAACAGCAGCAGTGTGTGACCTTTTTCCTGCATCTGTATAAACGGTGAGAGCGGAAGACAGCGGAATAGAACTAAATTTGGGAACTTCAAGCCAATGTAATTTCTGTTGCCAAGTAAAAGGAATTTGTTTGAAAGTTGTGGTACTAACATCACTAGGACAATTTAAAAGAGCATTTTGCAGAGCAACATTATTAAGAAGGTACCATTCCAAGGTATCTTTTTTCATTGGCAGCCAGATGATATTTGGTTCAGTGCCGTCCACAGTTCGTATTCGCTCTCTCCCTTTCATGATGATTGTTGCAAGCATTTCAATTTTTTGAACGATTGTTTTGGCTAGGTGAGTACCTACTGTGACCCATTCTAAGACTATTACTTCACGTAGTACTCCCCCTTCTTTTTTAAGAGAGGTATCTGGTGGCACTTGCTGGACAATGGCTCCCATAGCAAAAAGATCACCCATCCAACAACACAAACATAGGGGTACATCAGGGATCCTTCGAGAGATCAAACCCTGCAAAACAAGATCACAAATAGTATTAATAACAGAGTAGTCAGTAGAATCTAAATGAACAGGAGTTGCGGGATCTGTGCCCTGTAAAAGATGACGTAGTTTATACAACAGTTCAGTAGGAACGCCCACGATGGGTCGTAGCCATTGCAGATCTCCCATAAATTTTTGCATGTCATTTAAAGTTTTAAGTTCTGATTGCAATGTCAATTTTTGTGGTCGAATGATTTTCTCAGTTAACATCCATCCCAAGTATTTCCATGGACTAGTGCGTTGTGTTTTTTCAATGGAGACCACAAGGTGGCGCTGTTGCAACACTTT